TCACTCACGTTACCCAGGCTGGAGTGCAATGGCGCGATCTCGGCTCACCGCAACCTCCGCCTCCTGGGTTCAGGCAATTCTCCTGCCTCAGCCTCCTGAGTAACTGGGATTACAGGCATGCGCCACCATGCCCAGCTAATTTTTTGTATTTTTGGTAGAGACGAGGTTTCACCATGTTGACCAGGATGGTCTCGATCTCTTGACCTCGTGATCCACCCGCCTCGGCCTCCCAAAGTGCTGGGATTACAGGCTTGAGCCACCGCGCCCGGCCCGTGTGTACTTTTTAAGACAAATATATGCAGCTTTAGCAGTGCTTACTTTTGGGAAAAGGATTTGGAGTGAGGATTATGTCTGGTGGTAAGGAGGGAGTCCACTACCATTTTTGCTCATTTTCTTCTGTCACAGTTCAAAATGTATAGTTGAAAGACTGACTAGCATTGAAAGAACACACTCTGGGCATACATTCAGGAGAACTGAAAACATGCTCATATAAAAACTTGTACACAAATACTGATAACAGCATTATTAATAATAGCCAAAAAGTGGAAACAACCCAAATGTTCATTAATCAGAGTGGATAAACAAAGTGTGGATCTCCATACAGTGGAATATTGTTTGACAATAAAAAGGAATGAAATGCTGATTCATACTATAGAGACAGAAAGTAGACTAGTGGTTGCCTGCAGTTGGAGGGCTTGGGAAATGGAGAGTGACTACAGATGGGTACGGAGTTTCTTTTTGGGGTGGTGAAAATGTTCTGGAATTAGGTAGTTGTGGTGTTGTAAAAACCAGTGAATCAAACAGTTTAAAATGGTAAATTCTTTTTTGAGGTAAGGTCTTGCTCTGTTGCCCAAGCTGGAATGCAGTGGTGTGTGATCATGGTTCTCTGTAGTCTTGACCTTGGGCTCATATGATCCTCCCACCTCAGCCTCCTGAGTGTCTGGGACCACAGGCGTGCACCACTATATCTGGCCTTTTTTTTTTTTTTTTGGAGACTGAATCTCACTCTGTCACCCAGACTGGAGAGTGCAGTGGTGCAATCTTGGCTCACTGCAATCTTCGCCTCCTGGATTTAAGTGATTCTCCTCCCTCAACCTCCTGTGTAGTTGGAATTACAGGCATGTGCTACCACACCCGGCTAATTTTTATATTTTCTGTAGAGATGGGGTTTTGCCATGTTGACCAGGCTGAACTTGAACTCCTGACCTCAAGTGATCTGCTCACCTTGGCCTCCCAAAGTGCTGGGATTACAGGAACGAGCCACTGTGCCCGGTGTGAAAAGTAGGATTTTATGGGTATAAGTTGAGACAGGATACAAATTGGGAAAAATATTGCAAAGCCATTTTATATTGAGGTGTCTTTGTAACGTAATGATAGGTTCAGATGCAGATTTAAGCAAAGTTCCATCCAGTTGGGAGGTAGGATTGATCCCAGCTATTCATAGTGTTAGAGGATTAGCTAAAATATAATTTTTTTTTAAACAGTAAGCAGTTTGGTAGCCTGCCATATAATAATGAGTAATTTTCAGCCAGGCGCAGCGACTCATGCCTGTAATTCCAGCCCTTTGGGAGGCCAAGGCGGGCAGATCACTTGAGGTCAGGGGTTCGATGCCAGCCTGGCCAACATGGCGAAACCCTGTCTCTACTAAAAATGGAAAAAAATTAGCCAGGCATGGTGGGACACGCCTGTAATCCAAGCTACACAGGAGGCTGAGGCAGGAGAATATCTTGAACCCAGGAGGCAAAGGTTGCAGTGAGCAGAGATCGTGCCACTGCACTCTCTGTCTTAAAATAATAAAAATAGTTTTCTTATTTTCTTTAGAGGAACTAATAATTTAGTCAAAACTTGCTATCAAAATAGTTTTTCGTCCAAGGTTAATGATAAATTTAAAAAAACATATCCATTGTCTTTTTTTCTGTCTTGTCTGCTTTTATAGTGACTCAGTTTCCTAACAAATCATATTTTCTTTCTTCTGACACCCTAGCACATAACTCTGAGTCCGTTTCTGCCTTTCTTCTTTTGTTTGGTTGTATTGTTGTACAATACAGGGTCTTGCTCTGCCACCCAGGCTGGAGTGCAGTGGCACAATCTCAGCTCACTGCAATCTCCACCTCCCAGGCTCAGGAGAGCCTCCTACCTTGGCCTCCCAAGTAGCTGGGACTGCAGGCGTGCACCATTATACCATGCTTTGCCATGTTACCCAGGCTGGTCTCAAACTCCTGGGCTCAAGCGATCCACCCCCGCTGGCCTCCCAAAGTGCTGGGATTATAGGCATGAGCCACCACACCCAGCTTGTTTCTACCTGCCTGCCTGCCTGCCTTTCTTTCCTTTTTTCTTCTCTTTTTTTTTTTTTTTAAAGACAGAGCCTTGCTCTCTCGCCCAGGCTGAAGTGCAGTGGCGTGATCTTGCCTCTGTAACCTCTGCCTCCTGTGTAGCTGGGATTACAGGCGTGCACCACCACGTCTAGCTAGTTTTTTGTATTTGTAGTAGAGATGGCATTTCTCTGTATTGCCCAGGTAACGAACTCCTTGGCTCAAGTGATCCGCCTGCTTTGGCCTCCCAAGATGCTGGAATTACAGGAGTGAGCCAAGACATACATACTACAACTAGGGCTGAAGTTCCTTAGTAATTTTTAGTTGAGGACCTCTCAACAATTAAAATTTTCACCCCTATGATCTTATTGTTAGTATCTCATGTTTGTCATATTATGTAAACAGCTATGGATTTTACATTTATGTTCTTTTAAGGATAAGTCCGTAAAATTAATTTAAAGGGCCAGGCAACACACATAGAGCTAGTCTTTTCCTGAAACTTATCCCAAAGGGGAAAAAAATACACATATATTTCCAGTAGGAGATTTTAGATTTAGTGTTTTACTTTATTATGATAAATTTGAAGTAAGCAGACCTCAATAGCCCTTTCTTTGGCACAAGTCACAATACTCCTTGAGTTTAGGTACAGGTAAATTGTTATGTAAACTGCTTTTAGTGATTTCAAACTTAATGAATTGGAATATTTAGAATGTGAAACCTTGCTTTTCAAATTTTCAGTCTGCAATGTATCAATTAAGTTAGATCATGTTATGAGCTATTGAGTAGTATAAGACATCAGACCTGTATTTGATACCACTTTTACTCAGATGAAAAGATATTGGGCCAGGCACAGTAGCTCATGTCTGTAATCCCAGCACTTTGGGAGGCCGAGGCAGGTGGATCATTTGAGGTCACGGGTTCAAGAACAGCCTGGCCAATGTGGTGAAATCCTGTTTCTACTAAAAATACAAAAATTAGTTGGGTAGTAGTGGCATGTGCCTGTAACAATACCAGCTACTCAGGAGGCTGAGACAGGAGAATCGCTTGAGCCTGGGAGGCAGAGGTTGTGATGAGCTGAGATCCTGCCACTGCACTCCACTCTGGGCAACAGAGTCAGACCCTGTCTCAAAAAAAAAGATATTAGATGCCTGAAACTCACAGTACAGTGAGGAAATCCAGACATGGAAGAACTTGACATGGACCTAGAGAAAAAGCAGACAGAGAATGGGCTATGAAAGAGAGATCCAAAGCTATACCTGAGGAACCTAAGACGTTATTAAAAATCTGTTTTCACTTTCAATCCCTGGACTTTTTGAAGTCAGTTTTAAAAAATGGAATTTGCTTTTCATCATTTTGTCACTTGATGACTCAGTCTTCTAGACTATGCTTGTTTTTTTGTGGCTGTTTTGAGATAGAGTCTCACTCTATTGCCCAGGCTGGAGTGCAGTGTGATCTCAGCTCACTGCAACCTCCACCTCCTGGGTTCAAGTGATTCTCCCACCTCAGCCTCCTGAGTAGCTAGCTGGAACTATAGGCATGCGCCACTGCGACTGGCTAATTTTTTTGTATTTTTAATAGAGACAGGGCTTCACCACGTTGGTCAGGCTGGTCTCAAACTCCTGATCTGAAATGATCTGCCTGCTTTGGCCTCCCAAAGTGCTGGGAATACAGGTGTGAGCCACTGTGCCCAGCCGACCATGCTTGTTTTATAAAGCAAGCGATATGTAACATAAAATATAAATTGGATGGTTTGGAGAGTCCATGTAAGCAACTGATGGACTTTGTTTACTGTTACCGGAAAACATTAAATAAAAAAGACAAAACTATAACTCAAGACGGTTGCAGGTGGGCAAAAAAAAAAAAGAAAAAAGAAAACATTAGATGTGGCTGGGTACAGTGTTGCACTCCTGTAATCCCAGCACTTTGGGAGGCCGAGGCGGGCAGGTCCTCTGAGGTTAGTTCAAGACCAGCCTGGCCAACGTGGTGAAACCCTGTCTCTACTAAAAATACAAAAAAATTAGCTGGGCATGGTAGCACGTACCTATAATCCCAGATTCACCCATGCTGAGGTGGGAGAATCACTTGAACCCAGGCAGTGAAGGTTGCAGTGAGCCAAGATCATGCCACTGCACTCCAGCCTGGGCGACAGAGTGAAACTCCATCTCAAAAGGAAAAAACAAAAAAAACAAAAAAGAAAACATTAAATGCTTTAGGCTCTCCTCAGCTATTTCTTAAACATTAAAATCATTTGGGGAAAAAATGAAGCTTTCCAATTGCTCAACTTACTATGTATACTTAATGTATCATCTACCTCTAACACCTGTTCATGATGCCTGCTAATAATAAACAGGTGCTTACTAAGAACTGAAAGGATCAGCTGGGCCTGGTGGCTTATGCATGTAATGCCAGCACTTTGAGAGGCTGAGGTGGGAGGATCACTTGAGCCCAGAAATTTGAGACCAGCCTGGGTAACACAGACCTTGTTTCTACAAAAAATTTAAAAAATTCAGCCAGGTGCGATGGTGCACACCTATAGTCCCAGCTACTTGGGAGGCTGAGGCAAGAGATGGAGGCCGTAGTGAGCCACAGTCATACTACTGCACTCCAGCCTGGATGACGGAGCGTAACCTTGTCTCAAAAAGAGGAAAACCTGAATGAATAAATTAACTGTAGTATTGTTCTTTTAAGGTTAAAAACGACAACTAACATCAACCATGAAAGATCCAAGTCGCAGCAGTACTAGCCCAAGCATCATCAATGAAGATGTGATTATTAACGGTCATTCTCATGAAGATGACAATCCATTTGCAGAGTACATGTGGATGGAAAATGAAGAAGAATTCAACAGACAAGTTAGTTTTTTGTACAAACATGTTATTTTTTATATTCCATTCCAGCCCTCAATATGATTGTACTTGTCCCTGAAGTGTTTATCTTGTCCTTTATGTATGAAATACGTAGATTGATGTGCTACCACTCCTATTTATTTGGCTGCTGATTACCACCAGGCTTAACTGCTTACAGAAATAACCTGGGGAACTTGAATCAGGAGGACGAGGGTGGAGCCTGGGAAACTTCTGCAAAGCTCTGAGATGGTTCCAATGAGCAATCAGATTTGGAAACCACTGCCTTACGCCAGTCAGATTGCTGTGTTACCATGAAAGTCAAGAGAATTCAGGAGTCAGGAGAAGACAGGCAGATTTAGGATCCAGAATTATGCTGTTTTTCACCTGTAGTCCTTGATGTGATCAGCCTGAAAAATTTGATACCACTCTTCTGTTTAGAGAACTGTCATGCATTGATAAACGTTGTCTTTTATTCCCATATGTCTGGAATCTGTTCCCATCTTCTAATTCCTCACCTAATCGTGGCTTTAATAACCAGTAGCCAGCTTGACTTTTCCACATCCGGTGATGGATATTCAAGAGTAAAACACTTTAGTCTTATTTTTGTGAGGATCAGTTGAGTGTTTGATTTTTTTTTTTTTGTTTTTAATTACTCATTCTCTGACTCTGCCCCTTAGTTGTTTTGTTTTATTCATTTTGGGGTTGGATTATGGTTTGTATAATTTTAAAGTATCACAGGTAATTCTGATATGCATTCCTTGAAGAGAGCGTCTCTTTTTACTTCTTCCCTGCCACCCTCAATGGAAAAAAGAATGTTCTTTAATAAAAGTAAAAATATAGAAAAACCCTAAACAGATCCTCACAGGTCATTATGGTAAGCATTTTTTTTCCCTTAGCACAGAAGCAGAAAAGAAAGTATGACCTTGTGCTTTTAAATGGTTTAGTTCAAGATATTTTAAGCCATTCCTAGTGATATATATCGTGTTACAAATTATACTTTATTATAAATAATTACTACAAATTATTCTTTATTATAAATCTAGATAGAAGAGGAGTTATGGGAAGAAGAATTTATTGAACGCTGTTTCCAAGAAATGCTGGAAGAGGAAGAAGAGCATGAATGGTTTATTCCAGCTCGAGATCTCCCACAAACTATGGACCAAATCCAAGACCAGTTTAATGACCTTGTTATCAGTGACGGCTCTTCTCTGGAAGATCTTGTGGTAAAAAGTTACTTTTCATCTTTTTTAAATGTAGTGCATCTTTTGCATAAGTCGAAAAGCCAGCTGCCGTCTATTTAAGAATTCTGCATCTCTCTTCCCCTTCAGAAATTATGCTGCTTCTGGCCGGGCATGGTGGCTCATGCCTGTAATCCAGCACACTTTGGGAGGCCGAGGCGAACGATCACTTGAGGTCAGGAGTTTAAACCAGCCTGGCCAACATGACAAAATGCCATCTGTACTAAAAATACAAAAATTGGGCACAGTGGCTAATGCTTATAATTCCTGCACTTTGGGAGGCCGAGGTGGGTGGATCACCTGAGGTTGGGAGTTCAAGACCAGCCTGGCCGACATGGTGAAACCCCATCTCTACTGAAAACATAAAAATTAGGTGGGTGTGATGGCACATGCCTATAATCCCAGCTACTTGAGAAGCTGAGGCAGGAGAATCGCTTGAACCTGGGAGGCGGAGATTTCAGTGAACAGAGATCAAACTATTGCACTGCAGCCTAGGCAACAGAGTGAGAGTCTGATTCAACCAAAAAAAAAAAAAAAAAAAAGCTGGCGAGGTGGCTCACGCCTGTAATCCCAGCACTTTGGGAAGCCGAGGCAGGTGGATCATGAAGTCAGGAGTTTGAAACCATCCTGGCCAACACGGTGAAACCAACCCCATCTCTACTGAAAAATTAGCTGGGTTTGGTGGTGTGTGCCTGTAATCCCAGCTACTCAGGAGGCTCAGGCAAGAAAAGCACTTGAACTGGGAGGCATAGATTGCAATGAGCTAAGATCGTGTCATTGCACTCCAGCATGGGCAGCAGAGCTAGACTCTGTCTCAAAAAAAGAAAAAGAAATTCTGCTGCTTTTTTTCAATGAAAGCAGAGTCTCATGATGTGGAGTGACTTCTGGCAACACTGTGGAGCTAGTCTTAGACTTCTAGCCCCTGCTTTTAGTCCTGATGTTGCCCTAGGGTATTTAAATGTCCTAAAGAATTAATAATTTTAAAACACAGTATTACCATGTTACTTGCCTATATAAAAATAGCTTGATGGAGAAGTTTTGCTCTTCAGTCTTGTCTTGGCTGGGCACGGTGGCTCACGCCTGTAATCCCAGCACTTTGGGAGGCCGAGGCCGGCAGCTCATGAGGTCAGGAGTTCAAGACCAGTCTGACCAACATGGTGAAACCCCATCTCCACTAAAAATACAAAAATTAGCAGGGCATGGTGGTACATGCCTGTAATCCAAGCTACTCTCCTACTGAAGCAGGAGAATTGCTTGAACCCAGGAGATGGAGGAGGTTATGGTGGAACATGCCATTGCACTCCAGCCTGGGTGACGGAGTAAGACTCCATCTCAAAAAAAAAAAAAAAAAAAAAAACTTAAACATTCAGTGAAATATGCAAATTTTTATCTGAAAGGTAAAAATTTCAGAGATCTTTTCCTGACCCAGGGTTTCATTGAGGTACCCAGTTTGTTTGGAACTGTGGTTTAATAAAGAATTTTACAAGCTCTTGGCAGAAAAGAGACACAAACCTAGATTTGCATTTTTTTGTTATTCTTAGTGTCTCATTGCTAATGATATAAAAAGTTTTCTTTGGGAATTGTGATAACTAAATATCACCACTAGAGTAGAACTGGTAGGGTCCACTGAACTAATCTGTACCCCGTAATTACCTATGAAGCAATAAATACAAAAATCAGTTCTTTAGTTGCATCCCAACATGCTCAGTTGTCTGGGCATGTTGATTTTTTTAAAAATTTTTTTAAAGATGGGGTTTCACCATGTTGGTCAGGCTGGTCTTGAACTCCCTACCTCAGGTGATCTGCCCGCCTTGGCCTCCAAAGTGCTTGGATTACAGGTGTGAGCCACCGCGCCCGGCCTGATTTTTAAAAAATACTCCAGAAGGACCGGGCGCGGTGGATCACAAGGTCAAGAGATCGAGACCATCCTGGTCAACATGGTGAAACCCCATCTCTACTAAAAATACAAAAAATCAGCTGGGCATGGTGGCACATGCCTGTAATCCCAGCTACTCAGGAGGCTGAGGCAGGAGAATTGCCTGAACCCAGGAGGCGGAGGCTGCGGTGAGCCAAGATCGCGCCATTGCACTCTAGCCTGGGTAACAAGAATGAAACTCCGTCTCAAAAAAAAAAATACGCCAGAAGATTTATTATATAGCCAACCTGCCTGAATTGGGCATTTTGAAACCATTCTTCTAAAGGATGGTGTAGAGAACACTGACATTTACATTGTGGTATAGCCTTTGTTACAGTAAGCGATGATAACCCATTTGAGTAGCTGTATGATCTGAACAGTCTGTGGGGGTATGATTACTTATGGCCACATAAGTCACCGTAAATAATCCCAGTTGCCCTGTAATGTATAACTTTAATCTGGACCCCATATAATTCCATAGTACAGAAGCTGATTTGTTTTTCTCAGTCTATATGATATTACTTTGTTTCATTCTTATTCTTCTGTCACTCTGAAAAGATTGTTCATTTAAGAAGATTATGTTGTGGTGGCTCATGCCTGTAATCCCAGCACTTTGGGAGGCCAAAATGGGAGGATCACTTTGGCTCAGGAGTTTGAGACCAGCCTGGGCAACATAAGGAGACCCTGTCTCTACAAAAAGTTTAAGTTAGCTGGGTGTGGTGTCACAGGCCTGTGGTCCCAGGTACTAGGGAGGCAGAGGCTAGAGGATAGCTTGAGCCCAGGAGGTTGATGCTACAGTGAGCTGCAATTATGACATTGCACTCCAGAATGGGCAACCAAACGAGTTCCTGTCTCAAAAAAGAGAAAGAAGAATGCTGTTTTTTTCCTTAAACTTCACACTTCTAAAGTGTAGATACAGTATTTCCCTTGGAGGAAGGGAGCATATATCCTGTCCAAAGAAACTGTGTGTATAAATTACAAAACTAAAATTATTTCTCCAACATCACATTTAATACTATGCGTTAGTCTTTAAGTGATCTAGGGTCAAATTCATTGTAAAAGCCTGCTAGCATACTTACATTTCAGGCCCTGGAACCTGCCCTCATTTCTTTTTATTTTTATCAACTTGCAATCTAAAATATCGCAGAGGAAAATTTCTAGCTGTTCTTCCTAGATGCTGACAAGTCTGCTTAGGAGAGTAAAGATTTAGCGACATAGCATAACATTGGTACAAGTCTCTAAGACTCAGACTTTGCCCCCCCTCGCCCCCTTTTTTTTTTATCTGATGCAAAAAAAAATGGAATCCCAGAGAAAAGTGACTTATCTGAATTTACGTAGAAGTTAGGGGTAGAGCTGGGATTTTGGACTTAGGTCTTGTTTGCCATGTAGTTTTCTTTGCCTATTATTTGCCATGCTTCCTATGGGAATTAGAAGACGGCAATTGTCGAAAAACAACTCCATATTTTTAGTGGGGATTCTAAAGTAAAATTAATCCATCAACAATTCTCCACTAACTTTAATCATAATTTCAACACTTGTTTAGCATGTTTCCTTGGTATTTGGTGTTTAAAGAAAGCTACATACCATAATTCAGTTAACAGAATTCCTTCTTCAGTGCTATTCCTTTAATTTATATGAAGTTACTGGATTTCTGATTACACTTAAGCAAACTGAATTTCAATTCCTACTTTCTCTTTAGAAAATTGATATAATTTGATATGATATATAGGTTACATCTGGTTCCTCCTTTTTGGGGTTAAGTGTAGTCTTACAGTTCTTTTTTTTTTTGAGACGGAGTTTCGCTCTTGTTACCCAGGCTGGAGTGCAATGGCGCGATCTCGGCTCACCGCAACCTCCGCCTCCTGGGTTCAGGCAATTCTCCTGCCTCAGCCTCCCGAGTAGCTGGGATTACAGGCACATGCCACCATGCCCAGCTGAATTTTTGTATTTTTAGTAGAGACGGGGTTTCACCATGCTGACCAGGATGGTCTCGATCTCTTGACCTCGTGATCCACCCACCTCGGCCTCCCAAAGTGCTGGGATTACAGGCGTGAGCCACCGCGCCCGGCCAGTCTTACAGTTCTTTTGTCTTACTTTTTGAAAGGTGTTTTTGCATAAGGATCTAGGTTGAATGAGTATCTGAAACTGTTAATGAACTTGCTTTTTTATATACTTATTTTCCAGGTCAAGAGCAATCTGAATCCAAATGCAAAGGAGTTTGTTCCTGGGGTGAAGTACTAAAATATTTGAGTAGACGGGGCCCTCTTTTGGTGGATGTAGCACAATTTCCACACTGTGAAGGCAGTATTAGAAGACTTAATTGTAAAAGCTCTCTCTTGTCACTGTGTTACACTTATGCATTGCCAAAGTTTTTGTTAGTCTTGCATGCTTAATAAAAGTGCTGAGACTGTTATTAAGTAAAAAGCTGTCAAACATTTACTGAAAATAGAATTGGCCCCATGGCTTCATGTGGAGACAGCAAGGAAAGAAGCACCAGTCAAGTTGTGAACAAGCACCAAATTAAAAGACCTAAACCTTACTAAATTGTCTTTTTTTCAGGCTAAACTGGTCCCTTAGTGTTAACTAACACTTGTGTCTAAATTTTAAAATCAGTAAATTTGAGTTCCAACTGTTAAGCATATTTGAGATAATTTGTTATAGACAGGTGTGTCATATTACTGAGGCTACAAGTTAGTTAGCAGATGAGTACCAGTCCAGGTTTTTCTGATATGTTATTGTGTTTGAAATATTGAGTTCTGGCCGGGCGCGGTGGCTCAAGCCTGTAATCCCAGCACTTTGGGAGGCCGAGGCGGGTGGATCACGAGGTCAAGAGATCGAGACCATCCTGGTCAACATGGTGAAACCCCGTCTCTACTAAAAATACAAAAATTCAGCTGGGCATGGTGGCGTGTGCCTGTAATCCCAGCTACTCAGGAGGCTGAGGCAGGAGAATTGCCTGAACCCAGGAGGCGGAGGTTGCGGTGAGCCGAGATCGCGCCATTGCACTCCAGCCTGGGCAACAAGAGCGAAACTCCGTCTCAAAAAAAAAAAAAAGAAATATTGAGTTCTAATGTTACATCTGAGGAAGTATATAATTTGAGAATTGTAACTTCTAAGGGATTCATTGCATCATAGCTATGCCTGTGTGGAGTCTAACATATGACCAATACCAACCCATAATCCAGCTGAACAAAGATACTGTAACATTATGATTTGAGTGGTGCTTTTCCTTGCTTTGTTAACCATCACAAGAGTCTGCAGCACAACTTTTCTTTTAACAAAGCTAGAACAGTTTTGGCTTCTTAAACTTCATATTTGGGTAGGTTAAGCTGCCATACGTGTTCAGTGTGAATAGTGTTTAAGTTGAAAATATTGTAAAAAAATTATATTTTTTCAAAAATATTTAAAAAAATAAATAATAGTAGAACTGAGCAGATGGTTGTGTTTATTGGTGCTGGAATGTACTGTAGTGGTGTTACTTTAGTATGGGCCCAGTGCCTCAGGACTACCTTGCTGGCAGAAATGCTAAGCAATCAGACTTTGTTAGATTCCAACTAACAGATATGTTGCTGTGCAGTAGAATAACTCCATTGCCCATCCTTGCTTCTTAATCACTTCAGGCTGCAGTGTCAGGGGAATCCTAGACAGCCATGTAAGAAACTTTATGACTGACCAATATGATGGTGACCTTACTTTAATAGAACCTCCATTGCCTTTTGTTTTTCACAAGGGCTCTTCTTGAGCTTATGAGGTTGAAAAAGATTAAGAAAGCCATGTAGTCATTTCTGACTCACATTCTTCTGGGAGAGGGGTTCTTTGGTGTGTGCACCTGTGTCCCACTGTGTGGGGTTTTTTGGGGGGGGGGTTTGTTTGTTTTGAAGACGGAGTCTCGCTCTGTTGATCAGGCTAGAGTACAGTGGCGCCATCTCAGTTCATTGCAACCTTCACCTCCCAGGTTCAAGCGGTTCTCCTGCCTCAGCCTCTCTAGTAGCTGGGATTACAGGTGCACGCCACTACGCCTAGCTAATTTTTGTATTTTTTTGGTAGAGACGGGATTTTGCCATGTTGGCCAGGTTGGTCTCGAACTCCTGACCTCAGGTGATCTCTCACAAGAATAAAGATTCTCAAATGTAGCTTTTGTTGTGGAAAAATTTTAGAAAAGGGGGCTCTAGCCAGACTTCGTGGATTTGAATCCTGTGATCATGGCCATGTTACTTAACCCTTCTGTGCCTTCCTTTCCACATCTCTAAAATGGCAGTAATTGTCTCTGGATTATGTGAGTAGTTAATACATATAAGCATTTAAGACAGTCTCTGGCACATAGAAAGTCCTGTTTTAAGTGTTGTTATTTTTACTGTGAGGAGTCATTTACACTAACCTCTCTTTTTGGGAACTTTTCTTGTCTGTCTGAGGGAACATGCATGTTGAAACCATGTCAGTGTTTAACTAGAGTCAGGCATCTGCATTCAGATAGTGACAGAAGGTTTCTGAGCATCAGCTGCCCATGCATTATGAAGCCCTAAGGACAAATGATCACCTCATCAGGGCCTGTACGGGCATCGTTTTAGGATAAAGGCATCCTGTTTTAGAGGGTTTTAATTTTATGATGTTATTGAAATAAGGTGCAGTGTATATGAGAGGATTTTTCCTGTTCTTGTGCTGTACTTCTCAACCTTTTCCATGTTACATATCAAAGTGATACTTGTTTAGCATACTGGAGTACAAGAATGAGGTTGCCTGTGGCTGGAGTTCTTGGCTCAAGGACTCCAGTTGGCCCACATTTTGCCCAGGTGTATGGAAGGCTAGAGGATCTGCATTTCAGCATACTTGTAACCTCTTAGTGGCCCATACCAGTTGAGAAGCTCTGCTCTTACTATGAAATGGCAAAGGAATTCCATCCAAAATCCATATATTGACTTTTTACCCAGTTTACCTTCTCTTTGAGGACATTCAAACAGGTTACAAGAAAGGAAACTGAGTAGTTTGGTTTTAGCATAAGAATGTTTTGGTTATTCAGCCCTCTCACAAAAACTATAGGCACATCCTACCTTTCCTGGAAGTCATTTTTTAGACCTTGGTGCACACAGATGCAGTTTCTGTATTTTCTGGAGTGTCTTCTGGAATTGGAAACTGATCTTTTGAACTTGAAGAAAATCCTTTGAAGACTGGACAGATAGGAATGTATTTCAGAAAAGCAGTTCTTTTTACTATGCCCATCCCAATGGGGAAATCGTAGCTCTTGAGGCTGGAAGACGTGTCACTGTTGGCATGAGCCCCAGCTTTCCACTGTGTCAGACCACGCTCCTCTGGGCTCCCTGGAAGAGGACAGTGGGGTCATTTACCAGGGCCAGCAACCCTCAGCTGCCTCTACTTCCCATAACCAAGTCCTAAGGCAGACTTCTGGAATCAAATATCTTCCTTAACTATCATCTGGTCCTAAAAAGCAGCTGTATCGTTTCTGAGCTCCTAACTTGGCCAGAGCTCTAAGGAACACTAAAGGCTACTAGTTATAATTAGTGTTTATTATGTAACTACACTGTGCCAGGCTCTGTGCTAAGTGCTTAAATTTCATTATCTTGTTTCTTCAAAACATACCCCTGGGAGGTGTATAGGCACCATTATACAAAATTTTAAGACGAAGAAACGGAAAAAAGGTTAAGTAATTGTCAACCCAAATCTGTGTGTGGCTAATGTGTGTTAGGCCCATGGGGACCAAATTGGGCCCAGATTGTGTTCTGGGGGTAAGGGAGGCATATTTTGAAACACTATAATCAGTATTAATATTTAGTATTATGATTCCGTATGTGAAAAATAAACTCATTTTTACGATACAAACTTCAGAAAGTGAAGCTAAATAAAATCTTTGATGGAGGTGGGAATATGCCAAATTTTATTTTTATATATATACACACATATATATACATAGATATACACACACACACACACACACACACATATATATATATAATTTTTTCTTTTTTTTGAGACAGAGTCTTGCTCTGTCGCCCAGGCTGGAGTGCAGTGGCTTGATCTCAGCTCACTGCAACCTCCACCTCCCAGGTTCAAGCAATTCTCCTGCCTCAGCCTCCCGAGTAACTGGGGTTACAGGCACATGCCACCACACCGGCTTATTACTGTATTTTTAATAGAGATGGGGTTTCACCATGTTGGCCAGACACTAGTCTCAAACTCCTGACCTCAAGTGATCCACCCACCTTGGTCTCCCAAAGTCCTGGGATTACAGGCATGAGCCATTACACCCGGGGGCCAATAATTTTTACAACTAGGAATTCTTCAGGTCGGGGAGGGGCACATGAGATCTCAGGTTTTCATAAGAGGGCTGGGATCGACAAAGACTGAAATACTGTAAATATAGCAGAAGGAGTGGAGATGTCTACTTGCTGGCACCCCAGGCCGAGAACAACCCCATGAGTAACACAAACCAACTCATGTTCCAGAATCTCACAGGAGAGGGCACCGAGGGAAGGTGGAGTCCTCCACCTTCCTGGAAGAGACTACCTGGAAGAGACACTTTGACTGGGCTTGGCTGTACAAAAGGCACACACAGGTGGGCAGAGTAGAGTGGGATGGGTCACATAGGACTATATTCCTGGCATCTGATTACCTTACACCACTGCCAAAACACACATGGGCAGCCAGCCCAGAGCTTTCTCTAGCCAACCAGTCAGCCTGCCCACTACAACCCGACCTTCAGTGCCTTCTCTACTTCTCCAAGCCCTCTTCTTTTTCCTAGGCCTTACCTCCTCTCCCTCATCAGGAAACCCTGCCAATAACTCCAGCCCAGCTTCACTGGCTTCGTTGCGCACTTAAATCCAGTTTTACCACCTACCTATCTTGTGCCAGGAGCTCCTCTAAACAAATTGTTAATGACTTACACTTTTTGGAATATCCTCTTCAGTGTCTGATTCCAGGCTAAGCTGGTAAGCTCTGGCAGCATTTGCTGAACTAAATGGACTGCCCTCTATTAGTTTGGCTATGGATAGGTAAAGAGAAAGGGCAAATGCAAAGTGGCCCATCCCCAACAGGAAGTTAAGGACTGAGAAAGGCTTTTGCTATTCCATGGTTAAGGATGGGGTTTTGAAACAGCTAGACCTTGGTATGAATCCAGGTTGTGTGACCTTAGGCAAGTGACTTAACCTCCTTGAGCTTTAGGTTCCTCAGTGTACACTGCTGAGCTTATGTGGCATGACACACAGGGTGATTCCTGGCAGGGACGGTTATGATGCTCAGATGAATTGAAAGGTGGGGTGTGAGGGACTCAAGCAGTTCTGCAGCTGTCTTTAAAGAAGACTGGATAGCTCAGTCTAGCTACCCAAGTCACAAAGAAGCCTCTTTATATACAGGCACCTCTACCCAGATGCTCTCCATCTCCTCATATTCCCTAGGCATTGAGGCTGCCACTTGACTGTCTCAGGGCCATAGGATGGTCTGTTCCAGCCCCCAGTTCAGCATCCTTTAAATGAGGAGGGGTGAGTACCATGTTCAAATACCCACCCATCCACCCACAGGACAGCAGCTACCAAGAGCACCCTCCTTTGATTCTGCCTAAAATCCTTTGGGGAACCCTGGCCCTCCTCTGTCCTTCCCACTTTGGGAGAGGGAGGCTGAGGCAGGCAGATCACCTGAGGTCGGGAGTTCGAGACCAGCCTGACCAACATGGAGCAACCCTGTCTCTACTAAAAATACAAAACTAGCCAGGTGTGGTGGCACATGCCTGTAATCCCAGCCACTCGGGAGGCTGAGATGGGAGAATGGCTTGAGCCCGAGAGGCGGAGGTTGCTGTGAGCTAAGATAGCACCATTGCACTCCAGCCTGAGCAACAAGAGCGAAACTCCATCAAAAGTGTATGTGTATATATGTATGTATGTGTGTGTGTGTGTATATATATATACACACATACACACACACACACACACACACACACACACGAGGAGAGAGAGAGAAGAGGCCAGTTGTGGTGGCTCCCACCTATAATCCCAGTACTTTGGGATGCTGAGGCTGGAGGATCACTTGAGCCAGGAGTTTGAGACCAACCTTGGCAATAAAGTGAGACCCCATCTCTACAAAAAATTTAAAACTTAGCTGGGAGGCCGGGCGTGGTGGCTCAAGCCTGTAATCCCAGCACTTTGGGAGGCCAAGGCGGGTGGATCACGAGGTCAAGAGATCGAGACCATCCTGGTCAACATGGTGAAACCCCGTCTCTACTAAAAATACAAAAAATTAGCTGGGCATGGTGGTGCGTGCCTGTAATCCCAGCTACTCAGGAGGCTGAGGCAGGAGAATTGCCTGAACCCAGGAGGCGGAGGTTGCGGTGAGCTGAGATCGCGCCATTGCACTCCAGCCTGGGTAACATGAGTGAAACTCCGTCACAAAAAAAAAAAAAAAACTTAGCTGGGCATGGTGGCATGCACCAGTAGTCCCAACTACTTGGGAGGCTAAGGCAGGAGGAGCTTAAGCCCAGGAGTTTGAGGCTGTAGTGAGCTATGATTGTGCCACTGCACTCCAGTATGGGTGACAGACTGAGACCCTGTCTCAATTAAAATATGTATCCCAGATTTGTGATGTTTTAATTTTGTGACTATGACTTCGTGGTCATAGTTTTTGAGGATGAAGTAAGACACTTTGCTCTGCCTGACCTATAGTAGATGCTTGGTAAGTGTTAACTGTTTGTTATCAGAGCACTGGTGACATTTATTTTATACATTTACTGGCACCTTTATGTGGGCCCCACAAAGTATCCTCTATCTTTGCAAAAAGCTCTGGTACCAGAGGGAAATGGTGGCTCTTCTAGTCGCCATTGTGACATATTTGGAGTGGATGGATTTTGCTAATAAACTGATGCTGCATTTATCTCTGTCCTGCTCTTAAGAAAGCAAATATACCCCTCAGCCCGGTGGCTGTTAGAAAATAGATGTCAGGCACAGTGGCTCACGCCTGTAATCCCAGCACTTTGGAAGGCCAAGCCGGGCGGATCACCTGAGGTTGGAAGTTCAAGACCAGCCTGACCAACATGGTGAAACCCCATCTCTACTAAAAATACAAAATTAGCAGGGCATGGTGGCACATGCCTGTAATCCCAGCTACACAGGAGTCTGAGGCAGGAGAATCGCTTGAACCCAGGAGGCAGAGGTTGCAGTGACCAAGATTGCACCATTGTAGTCCAGCCTGGGCAACAAGAGCGAAACTCCATCTCAAAAAAAAAAAAAAAAAAAAAAAA